TTATTTATATTTATATCATCTATACGATATTCGAATGTTTGTTTTTAGATGTTTCACCTAGCTATCTTCCAAATATCAGTCTTTTATATTAAAAAATTTCGACCAGTGAATATGATAGCAACCTGTTTAAAATAATTAAATATTATTACTATTATATTAAAAAAACTTATATTATTTATATTTTAAACATATTATTGACAGGTAATATTAAGCTATTTAATAGGTATTTATTTCATTACAAAAAGATATTTAACAGATATATTAAAAATATAATTAGAATATGTTTATAAGATAGTTAACAGATGTCTTTAAGATATTTAACAGATATTTCACAGGTGTCTTTGAGACATTTAGCTGATGTTTTTAAAATATTTAACAGATGTTTACTTTATTTTCAAAAGAAAAAAAATCTTCTGGTACACTATATATTTAGAAAAGCTTTGACAACTACGTGTAAATATATTACTACAAATCATTATATAAATGCCCTCTCGATAGTAGACTACCAGTAGGTCTCTGCACGTGCTAGCACACAAACTATTAAAACATAGTGCATACCATGTCTTGTACTATGTTTTAATGGTTTGTATGCTAGCACTTGCAGAGCCCTACTCACCATGTACTATATCCAGATGCAATCACAAAAACTTCTTTAACTAAATAATATAAATGCGAAGTATGTATATATTTCAAAATTTACATTATATAATATTTTTATCTATGGTAATTTATAGTAATTATATATTACCTCATGCTAACTCTAAATACATTATTGAATACTAAATACTAATATTGTATATTGAAATCAAAATTTGATTGATTTTAAACAAAACTATTCTAAAGCTTGAGCGACTATTTTGGGATCCGATCAACTTGAGAAAACAAAGTAATGTTTAATCAAGAATTCTATAACGATTAAATTTGTACACTATTTTATGAATAAACTACGTATATACTTATCTCCTAATAATTTATTACATAAGTAAAAGAGCAGAAAATATTTAATAGAGAATTCTATTGACAATAAGATTTGTATAGTCGCCTCTGAATATTTAACACGGATACACAAAAAATAATATACATAGAAATCAACGATAATATATTAATGAATACTGCTGACTCTTGATATAAAAAAGTCACTGAGTCTAGCCAAACTCATTTTTAAACTGAGACTTTCTCATATAGAAGACTTTTTTTATAAAAATTTTTAATTGGAACTTGTAAAATCTTTCTTATATATACATCGAAGGTTTTTTATATCGTGAGTATAATTAGTATAAATTTTGTTATGTTTTCATGTAACCATGTTAAACTTTTGGAGCCAACTATACATACATTGTTTTATAGAAAAACTCACAATTACACTCTTAGTTACTAAATAAAACAGTATATCAGTTTATCTGTATAGGCTATACTGCAAAATAAAATAATAAATAAATAAATAAAGAATAAAATAAATAAAAAGTAAAATAAATATGAATAATAATAAAAATACTAGAAAAATAAAAATTTAAGTCAAAAGCAATATTTTTTCCTATAGATAGGATTTATTCACTTATATTTACAGTATTTTAAATAATATGCAATATATCTCTTTGGGCTGCAAATTACATATGTAACTATTTAATATCTTAAGTAATATATTGTAAAGAAGCTTATACTATATTCTGCTTATCGACTCAAAAGGTCTCTAACTGGTAGTGATTTTACTACTTCAAGTTTTGTTGGAATTTTTAAATTGATTGTATACTCATCACATTCCTGAATCACAATTCGCGTATCTTGATTATTTGCTATAGCAATAATCACAGCTTTGACTGCCTTAAATACAAAGATGTCGAGCTTTTTGAGCATTTCTATATCTTTTTTTAATACTATCAGATCAGTGCCTTTTAGATGTAAATGAAGTGTTTCTTTCTATATATTATCACTAATAAATGTAGATAATTCATGATTTAACAATTCAAGCTCTCTAAAATTAATTATTATTTTAGTTACTACATACAATATATTTATTGCACTTTATAATATACGATTTTAACAGATACAATTACTACTAAGTATGGATACACTCACCAATTATAGGTTAAGGTAAACTGTTCTGCAAGTTTTGAAATTGATTTGTAAAAATTATAGCGGAATGTATTATACCAAGAACCTACTTTTTTAAACAATGCTAGCATATGACAATCAATTTTTGTAATTTTACATTCTTGTGAAATTAACTCCTCGTATAACTTAGTCATGTTGTTCCTTGTATAAAGGAAGAGTGCTTTGCACTCTTCCAGTAAAAGAAGTTTCGTATGCTAAAATTGAAGTATATATATAAGTCTCCACTACATGCTAATAATTGTGACAGATCAAAATAAAATCTGATTAAAAAGTTTATCTGGTTAACTTCTGGAATATTTAGCATAGAGTTACATGATTGACTAGTATTAATTTCTGGAGCATTTAGTAAAGAGTTGCATGATTGAACAGTATTAAAGAGCAACTTGTTATTGTTATTAATAGTTGATGCTTGGGTTCTTATTGCATTATGAATTAGTGTAGCTAAATTTAGAGTTCTTGGATGCTGTGCCATCCATAGTGCGATTTCGAATTCATTAGATGTGTCAAGAAGCTTTGTGATAATTGATTGAGGTGAGTCATATTCAAAGGTTTCATTGTCTATTAAATATGTAAAATTGTTAACATGTAGCTTTATATCAGACTATATTATCAAATAATTCTTATTCTCATTTATGTGTGTATGCAAAGCTGCATTTATATCTATTGGTTTTACTGGAGAAGTCACAGCTGTAACACATAAATCTGTTGTCACCATACTCAATGGTTGGGTCTCCATATAGATATTTGTATGTGAAACTTTGTTTGCTAAATTTTTAACTATAGGCTTTGAAGATAACATAGTCGCAGCTACAACACGTGAATTCATTGTCACCATACTTAATATTTGGGTCTCCGTATGGATATTTGTATGTGAAACTTTGTTTGCTGAATTTTTAACTATAGGCTTCGTAGATAACATCTCTTTAGTATATGATGCTTTATTGATTTCTCCTTCAAATTGATTGAAATCATTAACTAACAATAGATATGATTATAAGTAGTAAATACAAAAAGTTTATTCATTTAAAATATGAAACTAATCTATATACTTTTTTTTTAAATATAAATTAACCATGTAATAAATAATACATATACCATTATCTATAGTATAATTTAGAGAGCCTAGAAGTTAAATATAAATAAAATAGTTGATTATATATGAGAAATGATTTAAATTATATACCTGATGCTTCTTCATTAGTACTATCTTCTGAGGAAGATTCGTCCTCTTCATTACTAACAATTTCCTTGATCTGTGGCTCGATCTTCGTTGATTTTTGACTATTTTGTCTTTTCTCGATGCTTTAGAAGTTGAACCTAAATATATAATTATTATTTCATAAGTATAATTATAGGTATAAAAATTGCTTAAACAAAATAATGTATCTCTAGTACTTTGCGCATGAGTGGCATGAGTCTTGCTTCTTTTAGCAGCTATAAAACTCTCATTTAATAAAGATATAAATTACAAAAGACGATTTAAAATATTATTTTATTCACTTACGAATAGTTTTTTTTAGAAACCATGGTGTTTAACAAAAAGAAATTGATATCTTAGTGCTTCATTATAAATATAAATATATTCAGATACATGTCATTACATACAACTTTTTGATTACATATTATTAACCTTTCATATACATATATATCCAGATAATTTATACTAAATTACATATTATTATATATCCTTTGATTGAGTTACCTATTTACATACCTGCTTTGATTACGTATTATTAATCTTCGATTGTGCATTATTAATTTTTGGATAATAAATCATTAACCATTCTAAAATTCTTAATTACAAAATAAATTTTAACAAAATATTAGAAACCCCAAATTTTATACTATGAAGCGATCAAAAAAGACAGCTCATCTTTATACAGACATTCCAAAGTTACGCAATAAAAAATGATATAAAGAAGAATCACTTAATATAATAAATTCTATTTATACAGGTATTCCAGAAAAAGCTTTTTCTTCTCAGAAATATAATTTAATTTTAAATGCTGCTGAAACTGATAACGTAGATAATGAAACTGATGAAACGAACATAAAAAAATGAGAAGTTTATGAAAAAGAAGCCAATGAAGGAACCGATGAAGATACTGATAAAGAAACTGACAAAACTAATGAAGAGGCTAAAATAGAAACATTGACAGTTGAGATATATTGTTAATAATCAGGGTTTTTTTTGCTTAAATGCAATTGTTAATAATCGTATAAATATTAAGATATAAAATATTAATATATATATATCTTTATTCTCATAAAGGATCTGGAACAATCAGATGATATAAATGACGATCTATTTTTTTAAGATTTTACTTATAGTCTATTGATTGATATTGCAGAAGAAGATCCAATAAATGACGAAATTTTAGAGGAAGAATCTTCAGAATTTGGAGGTTTTGACGGAGAGTATGAACTGTACTTTTCAAATTTTACAACAACGATGCTATATGAGTGGATTACAAAGCATATGATTTGTAAGTAACAAATATGTCTAATTTCAAAAATAGAAATTTTAATAATACAGTCATATATATGTACATACGTATATATATGGCGATAGAATTCAAAAAAAAAAGAAATTTTAACAATGAAAATGATTAGTAATCATTATTATAATTTTCTTTTTTAAATTCTACCGCTATCTATACATATGTACGTACGTATATACCTTAGTTACATCCCTATATTTGAGCAGAATAAAATTTCTTTGTTATATGTTTTATATATTGAATTATATTCCAACCTTACTTATATCTTCAAAAAAAATAAAAAAAAAGAGAATATAACTTAGATATGACCAGGGTGGTAAATAACTTCAAATGAGTTTTCGAAATGGCTCAATCACATGATAACTTTAATATACCAAATAACCACAAAATTTACTATTCCTGGGTATGACTATAGTAATTATTAAAGCTTCTTTTTTAAAATTTAGTATTATAGAATCTGTTTTTGTGCTACAATGCATAAAATGAGCAAACTTTAACATATTATTTTTAGCTACTAGCATATATAAAGATCTTTTCAAAATCATTAAACATCCTAACTTTTGCAAAGATGATGTCGTAACAAATATTTGACGCTTCTGTGAATAGAGATATAAACTGTCTATTCTTAAAGTGATACAGCATGAAGTATCTATTTGTGAACAAAAAGTACTATCTACACTTTCATCTACTAAAAAAGCATTTGTCATATCCCCCTTGATGCATTTGAAATATGTGTTAAATAACCTGATACTTGTACTCAAGATGTATTTTGGATCTGGCATTCTTAAAAAAGAAAAGAGTGAATTTTGGCATGGAGATCTCTGGCAAGAATCTTTGCTTTTTGGAGAACACGAACTAAAATATAACAATGGTAGTTAGTATTTAATGTTATCCAAAAGTTATTTTTTTTAAAATTTAAGTTTTGAACTTCAAAATTGGCCCTTTGATCTACGTTATTAACCTGCTAAGCAGAAAAAAATTCATTAGTCACAGATAAATTAATATATGATTAAAAAATTTTAATCAAGTAGTAGATTGCTGACATTAAATTTTATTGCTTCTTTTTTGATACATTGCTACTTCCATCTTAAATAGTTAGCTTTTGGCAGATACATATTACAATATCACAAGATTAATAATATTATATAGCCAAACCTCTATATATGTATGCTCTGTAGTGCATACCCTTTATAATTGCACCTTATGTCTCAGTTCATACTAATAATAACACTTATAAAACTACTCTCTTAAATACACACTTATAGTTCTTTACAAAAATTTGTCAAAATTGAATTTGCTAAAAATAAGCAATTTAATGGTACTGATAATGTACTATTAAAATACAAAATTTTGTAAATATAAGCAATTTATTAGCATTTGATTACTATATTTTAATTTTATAAATATATTTGTCAATTATTATGCTAATAAAATACTCATATTAGCAATATATTATCAATATTTTAGTAATAATAAAGATCTAAAACTTACTATTATTTAATTCATTTATTAGATAATGAAATAATCTTGTAATAAATAATTAAAATTGTTAACTTAGTACTAATAATGCACTATATATTGCTTATATTTGCAAATAATTGCATATCTTGAAATTATCAGCTTTTTGCAAAGTTGGTTCCAAGAATATATATATAGAGGTTTGACTGTATCAATTTTT